GATAACATTTTCAAAATATTTTGATTTATTTTGAACTGTTTAGGGACATTTTCATTTTTCATTTTTTTTTAGTTTTTTTTCTAGAAATATCAATAAAATTTTATATGTTGGTTAAAAAATCTTGAAAATTTAATAAAAGGCTCCTAGTATATTGTTTCAAAGGCAGATGAAAAATATTAAAAATCGTTAGTCAAGGTTTTTTTTTATAAGCATTTAAAGTTCAAAAATTGACAAAATATGGAAAAATCACGAAAATTAGCAAATTATTTTGAGTTAAGAATTCGTAAAAATTTTTCTTTTTAAATCTAAGACTTGAAAATGTAATACAAGATTACTCATAAGATTGTCTACCTTTATCAATAAAAAAATCTCTACCGGAAAGTCAAATTAAATTTTTATGAGTGTATGAAATTCAATTTTTTACAAAATTGGATATTCACTTGATTTCTCATGTAGCGATTTTCTTATTTTGTTGTAATTCAAAAACGAATAAATATAGATACATGAAAATTTCAGTTTATGTTCAGATTAGTATTTTCTATACACTGTAGGTACAGTTTTTAAAATATTTTGACTTTTTTTGAGTTGTTAATGGACATTTTCAGTTTTCAAGTTTTTTATGTTTTTTTTTTCTATAAATATCAATAAAGTTTTAACTGTTGGGCCAAAAAGTGTAAAAATTTAATACAAGGCTCCTGATATATTGTTACAGTAGCAGTTGAAAAATATTAAAAATACATAGGCACAATTTTTTTTTATAAGCATTTAAACATCGAATTTTGACAACATTTATCAAAATCTCAAAAATTATCAATCATTGTAATTAATAAATTATAAAATGTTCAGTTTTTATAGCTAAAGATTGCAAATTTAAAACAAAGGTTCTCATAAATAGTTCATACTGTAACCAAAAAATCTAAAAAATATATGAACACAGTTATTTTTTAAAGACATTTTAAATTCAAATTTGGACGAAATTACATATTAAAATCAATATTAATTCTAAAACGAATAATTATTATTATTATTATTATTATTATTATTATTATTCATAAACGAATAACTATAGATATAATCGAGTGAATATCCAATGTTGTAAAAATTTGAATTTCAAACGCTCGTAAAAATTTAATTTGACTTTCTTATAGACATTTTTCTTTTGATAAAGGTATATAATCTTATAAGGAATTTTGTGTTTAATTTTCAAATCTTAGATTTAAAAAGAAAAATTTTTACGAATTCTTAAGAGGACTCTACACCCGCATGTGTTGTCTCCGTCTTACACACGTACGACATAGACAAAACGCGTTTAGGCATTCTGAGTATAACTCGCTCAATTTTGGTTCTAGAGTAAAAATACCCATTATGAAATTGAATTGTGATAATATTTCTAAGGGCAAGACGCTGCGGTTTTTTTAAAAAATTTAATTTTTTAAAAGTCAAAGGTATTTTAAAAATGGTGAAATTTTTTCTATTTCTAAACGATATAATGAACGTTATATTGGGTATAATGGAAGAACCGCAGCGTCTTGCCCTTAGAAATATTATCACAATTCAATTTCATAATAGGCATTTTTACTCTAGAACCAAAATTGAGCGAGTTATACTCAGACTGCCTAAACACGTTTTGTCTATGTCGTACGTGTGTAAGACGGAGACAACACATGCGGGTGTAGCGTCCTCTTAACTCAAAATAATTTGCTAATTTTCGTGATTTTTCCATATTTTGTCATTTTTTGAATTTTAAATGATTATAAAAAAAAATTGTGACTAAGGATTTTTAATATTTTTCATCTGCCTTTTAAACAATATATTAGGAGCCTTCTATTAAATTTTCAAGCTTTCGCAATCAACAAATAAAATTTTATTGATATTTTTAGAAAAAAACTAAAAAAAAATGGAAAATGAAAATGTCCCTAAACAGTTCAAAATAAATCAAAATGTTTTGAAAATTTTATCGTGTATATAAAATACAAATATAAACAACCAGTGAAAATTTCATGTATATACGTTCATTTCTTTTAGAGTTACACCAAAAACCAAAATCAATTTTTTGGAAAACCGATTTTGCGTAAAAATTCCCGTTTTTCCTTAATTTTTATGTTTTTTTTCCCGGTGCTTGTGAAAACTACTGGGAAATATTGACCCCCCAAAGTACCAACTAGATTCACTTTCCTATCAGAAAAGCTTCTGATGAAGAAAATCCAAGCTCTTTTACTGTTCCAAAACGTGATGACAGACACAAAAAAAAAAAAACACACTTCATTGTAAAACCAATACATTCATCGTTTCACTCAGAATCTAAAAAACTAAAAAAATTGAAAAATGAAAATGTCCGTAAACAGCTCAAAAAGAGTCAAAATATTTTCAAAATTGTATGGTGTATAGGAAATGCTAATATAAACATTCAGTGAAATTTTTATGTATCTATAGTAATTCGAATAACAACAAAATAAGGAAATCGCTACATGAGAAATCGAGTGAATATCCAATGTTGTAAAAATTTGAATTTTAAACGCTCATAAAAATTTAATTTAACTGTCCGGTAGAGATTTTTTTATTGATACAGGTAGACAAATATATGAGTAATCTTGTATTACATTTTCAAATCTTAGATTTAAAAAGAAAAATTTTTACGAATTCTTAACTCAAAATAATTTGCTAATTTTCGTGATTTTTCCATATTTTGTCAATATTTGAACTTTAAATGCTTATAAAAAAAAACTGTGACTAACGATTTTTAATATTTTTCATCTGCCTTTGAAGCAATATACTAGGAGCCTTCTAATTAATATTCAAGTTTTTTTAACCAACAAATAAAATTTTATTGATATTTCTAGAAAAAAACTAAAAAAAAAATGAAAAATGAAAATGTCCCTAAACTGTTCAAAATAAATCAAAATATTTTGAAAATGTTATCGTGTATAGAAGATGCAAATATAAGCAACCAGTGCAAATGTCATGTATCTACGGTCATTTGTTTTAAAGTTACACCAAAAACCAAATTCAATTTTCTGAAAAATCGATTTTGCGTAAAATTCCCGTTTTTCCTTAATTTTTCTTTTGTTTTTCTTTTCGCTTTTGAAAAGTACTGGGAATTTTAAATTTTGACCTCCCCAATGCACCAACGATATTCACTTTCCAATCGAACAAGATAATGAAGTCGAAAATCGAAGCATTATTTCGACTACTTATCGTGTACACAGACACAAAAAAAAAAAACACACACATCATTGTAAAATCAATACATTCATCGTTTCACTCAGAATCTAAAAAAATCCCTTTTGTACCTTTATGTCTATATAAATAGCTCAGAGTCAAAATATTTGGAAAACGTTATCATGTATAGAAAATGATAAAATAAATATTTTTATTCTTTTTTAAATATAACAAAATATCAAAAATTGTTTGAAGGGAAATAGTTATAATTTTACGGGTCAATACAAAAATAGTTTTAATCATCAAAACTCACAACACCTACATGGCTACATTTCATATGAATAAAAATAAAAAACCAAGCATCTGAAAATATGGACTTGCATTTTATAAATTTAAATTGGGGTAGCATATTTATATTTTAAATATATTTATATTTTAAATTCACTTTATTCAAACGATCAAACAAGCGAAAATAAAATCACATTTCTATACAATAATAATATGATCAACATCGAAATATTCACATGTCGTTTTTTGAAATATAATATTTTCTATACGTTTTCTTAAGTTACAAAACCAAAAATAAAAAGTACAAAAATATGGTAAATTAAAAAAGTTGTACAGTCGTATTAATTGTGACATAGGTACTGGAATTAAATCAGGTTTGTTAATAAATTATAATTTATAATAGATGAAATGTATATTATACTGTTAATATCAACTTAATTTTATTTGTAATTTGTATATTGTATAACTAAAAAGGCATTAAAAACTCGTTTTAAACAATATTATTCATGTTTCATTATAATGGAGTAGGGGGAAGGGAAGGGTTGGTGTTGAAAATAACAAAATCAAACAAGTAAGAATTATATCATTTATATCAAAATCAATACATTCATCGTTTCACTCAGAATCTAAAATATATCGCTTTGGCATGAGGATTGGACAATGTATATTATTATTAAAATAAATTTAAAAATGGACTGGTAACAATAATAATTGTACAATTAATTTATTATAAAAATAGTATTTTTATATGACTTATATAGTTATATCACCCAGTAAATAATTTATAGGTAATCTTAATTACATTTTACCTTTGAATCAATCCCACCTTACCATAATATCTTAAATCATGGTTTATTAGAAAAATTCACTCAAATAGACGTTGCGTTTTGGCAGCAAGCGTAAATGAAATAAGTGAGCTACAAGTTACAATTTTATGATTAGAAAAAATAATACCAAATAGTTAAATTACAATATGGAACGGCGAGAGCGAACGGTGCGTATCGGAGAACGCCGAACGGTGCGCAACGGAGAACGCTGAACGGGCGCCGTGAGACTGGTGTGAAGTGACGTACTGACGCCGCTACGACAGCTACGACTAACCTAACCTACCAGCTGCTGGGGAACAGTATTGTGGGACAACAGTCGCCACAGGGTGAAGGTCTTATCATAAATGAGTCCGACCGGCGATCGTCTGATAATAAATGTTTATAATTTATGTTTACACTTGCACGGACAGAAAGTATTATCACAGAATAGATGAAATCAGAATGGACACTCTCCAAAAACCATGATAAGAACTAAAGTGCCACCAGTGTAGCCATGTAATAAAACTATTTTTATTTTCTGTTTATGTCGCAAAAGACCACTCTGAGCATCCGCTTTATTTGGATTTGTTTGTAAACAAACTGCTTTTTTAAGGCTGGTTTGTAAAAAACTTAACAATTCACTTTTCATATTTCTTAAAAAGTGAACACGAGACCTCTACAAGTCCTCGGTTAATACCTAATTAGATATTTTGAAATTCTTGTAATTTTACGACACAACCAGTGACTATGGACTTCCTAAATAAACGCTTTAGAATAGGTAAATGCTGTATTAAAGACTGCAAAAGTTTTGAATTGGATCCGGATTTAATAAGTCATTTTTCTTTTCCAAAGGACCCTTCAAGGTAAGACATTTTTTGAGTAAATTAATATAACATACATTTGATTATTTGATTATTTTTTTTTAATTTAAAGATGTGCAGTTTGGATGGACAATGTTCAATTATGTCATTTAAATAATGTTGATGTAGTAACTTTGAACAAAAAGTATCGGCTATGTTCATTACATTTTGAAGGCAGGATGTTTAGTAATGAACAGAACAACCGTCTTAAGCCAGATGCAATACCAACATTATTTGAAGTTGTGGCAGAGGAACATATTGATAAAAATTATGTTTTTAATGACAATGACAACGAAAATAATTGCTCACCGTCCTGTTTAACACCTGGTATGCACCTTGTTTCAGATGCATCTTCTGTTTGTTCAATTCTATCAGATTCATCATCAATTACAATAGAAACATGTTCATCCGAATGTCAAACTCCATCATCATTAACTCATCGTACTCCACGGAAGAACGCACTTAGGAAGAAACTAAATGAGGAAATAAAGAAGAGAAGAGAACTACAATCAGTGATTGATTCTCATCGGCAGATGGTTGACACATATTCTATTGAAACGGCCCTTAAAGTGTGTGAGAAACATTGCTCTCCCACAGTGTTTATGCTGGTCAAGTCTCAATTTGAAAATCAACAGCGGAAACAATGCGGACAAAGGTATTCTAATGACATAAAGCAACTTGCTTTAAATATTTATTTTGTAAGTCCTAAGCTTTATAGAATGATGCAAAAATCTTTGTCCCTTCCGGTTAGTCGGACTTTGAGAAGAATCACTGGTAAATATGAAATCAATCCTGGTTTTAATGATTTTCTATTTAATTTCCTTTCGCTTAAAATCAGTAATTTTAAATCAGATTGGCTTGATTGTGTTTTGTGTGCTGACGAAATGGCTTTAAAAACTAATCTGTTTTACAGGGTTAACAAAGATAAAATAGTTGGTTTCCATGAATCTTCTAACCGTAGAAAATATGAACCTGCTAAGTATGCTCTGGTCCTTATGATCAGAAGTCTAAATTATGACTGGAAACAACCAGTTGCTTATTTTCTTGTGTCTAGTAGCTGTACAGGAATTGATTTAAAGGACATAATTTTGTCAACAATTTGTCGCCTGCAAAACATTAATCTGAATATTAAAGCATTTATTACGGACCAAGGCACAAATTTTGTGCAGTTTTCAAAAAGCCTTTATGTTTCCCCTAGTAAGCCTTATTTTGATGTAGAAGGAAAATCAATTGTTTACATTTTTGATCCTCCTCATTTGATTAAGTCAACCCGTAACATGTTATTTAAACATAATTTTAAAATTAATGATAATGTTGTTAATAAAGCCCATCTTATTTCTTTTTACAATCATGACTCCAAATGTAATCTTCGATTAGCACCAAAATTGACGTATGCTCATATATACCCAGGGCCTTTTGAAAAAATGAGGGTTTATTTGGCTACACAAGTATTTAGTGGAACTGTTGCTTCTGGTATGTCGATTGCTTTAGTAGCTGGTATTTTACCGCCTTGTGCCCAATTTACGATAGACTTCATAAGTGATATGGACAAGTTATTTGATATATTCAATTCTTCCAAGATTCCTAAAAGAAAAGAATACAATCGGCCGTTTAAGGGTACAGAAGCCCAAATCAATCATTTAAATAAAATGGAAGGGGTTTTTAAAAACTTACTAGTAATTCATAAATATAATGGTACAGATGAAACTAAGCGGATGAACTTTATTAATGGATGGTTAATCTCGATAGCGGCTTTAAAAATGATATGGAAATCATTAAAAGCATCAAAAAACAAAGATCATCTATTCTGTGGTATTATAGTCATTAGTATTCTTGTCTATGATTATAGTGTTACGCGTTTTCGGTTGAATTATTTTATTAATTTTTCACCTATTTGAATCGAAGAATTATTATTATTATTTTCTATATAATTATTTCTTCATACCGCAACGCCGCCGAAGCCATATCTCACCCAAGCACGAACATATTATTTTCCTAGTCGTTGACTTGACGAATACTCTCACCGCTGAATACACCATCCGCATCACCCCGAGAATCTCCGGTTCAAGGTGTACGCCATATCGGCCATTATACCGTGCACCACCCTCTATAGTACGCACACAGACACTCGACGAAGTAAGAATTTTGCAGAAAATTATTCTATACAGATGTGTCCTTTGTACCTCTTAAAAAAACTTTCAGAGGCATTGGTAAGATTTACTGAACGCCTCAGTTCTTCCTGTAATACGTTTTCTTTCGTTTTTTGCCCCATGTGACCACCTTATATTACATTTTTCTTTTATGTGTCTCTATAAATACTCAATTGTTTGTGTCTGTATGTGTATTTATGAAGTTTATGCAACCTACCTATCGTCATTATTTATTAGTTTGTCGATGAAAAAAATTGTATGCACGAGGCCCTCCACCACCTACCTGAATTTTATAATTTTGTTGTGCCATTAATTACTGATTAGAGATAAATTCCTGTGAATTCCTGACTGGCTTTTTATAATTCCTTCTCTACCCGTTTTTCCAGAAAATAGGACTTTCTACGCAACTTTAGTCACATTACCCTTGCCACAATTGGTGAAACTTTGACTTTCCGGAAAAATGATTAGAGAATAAAACGTGTAACCAAAATTCATAAAAAAAATTTGTGTCAATGCTATGGAATATAATCTCGTGTCTAGTCTTCATAAGTAATTAGTACCATCCTTTGTGTTGTTATACTATCCCCGGAACATCTCTATTATGAATCTAATTTACCTATTACCATTTAGAATCACCGTGGTAAAAAGCCCTGTAAAAATATTTGTGTCAATAATTAATAAAACTTTAATGACACATCTAGCATTAGGTATATCTACATACATAAATAACTACATTTTACTACATTTTACGAATGGCTAGGTACATATAATTTACTATCTAATATTCTAATGGACATCATTAATTCCATATTATTTATTTCAACAATTTTTTATATTTAATAAATTTACCTAATAAGTTAATAATTTCTTAACTTCAGTATTATGATGATTTTCACACCTTCTACTGGTACTTAAATTTAGCACAGTGATAATATTAAAATTGAACGAAATTTTAAAAATATTTCCAAAGGTGTTATGTCAGTAAAAATAATGGATGCCTTACAGACTACATTTTGTGAAAGTGATCCAAAAAAAGTTCTGATATCCAAAAAATGTGAACCAATAAATTTTAGAAATAACTCTCATTTTCTCTCAATACTGGAAAACTTACAATCCCAACGCAAGTATGTTGATGTCGATTTTACCTTCATTCAATATAAATATCAGTAACACATTTTTGTTTTTAGAAATGAAGTTTTATGTGATGTTAGATTTGAAGCAGACGATGGTAAATTAGTAATTGGACATAAAAATATTTTAATAGCAGCTAGCCCATATTTTTGTGCCATGTTTAGCAATTTTAATGAGAGCAATATTGTCAAAATAAGCGAATTAGACTCCACTATCTTACAGCAATTAGTAGATTACATCTATACAGGAGAAATCATGATAACAGAAGAAAATGTACAAGTATGAATAAATATTTGATTTGTTATAAGCTTATAAACTTTCCGAAACTTTCTTTAAAATGGTTTTAAAATTGTATTGATTTCTGAAGGGTCTATTACCAGCTTCAAATATCTTACTGTTAGACTATGTCAAAGATGCATGTGCCAAGTTTTTAGAAGCACAACTGGATTCATCAAATTGTCTTAGAATCAAAGAATTTGCTGATTTGCATAACTGTATGGAATTATTGTCGAGTTCTGAAGATTTTATTAAAAAACAGTTTATGTAGGATATGAATTACAATTCAATTATCTTTTTCGATTAGTCAAGTGTATTAATTATTATTTATGTTTTTAGAGAAGTGGTTAAATGTGATGATTTCCTATCTTTATCTTACGAAGCAGTGTTTAAGCTAATATCCTCAAATGACCTCACTGTTCCATTTGAAGAAAAAGTAAGCAAACTAATTGATAATTGTTATAATTAATATTGTGAATGGTAGATCAATTTACTTAGCAAATACATTTAATATTATATTATAATTTTGTATATTGTATAGAGGGACTTGAGGGAGTATTTTGGAATCATATGTATCTATAATGCATATGATCACGTGAGTTGTGTTGAGCATTAGGTATTAAATCTCTACAAACTGCTTAGGTATTATATTAAATTTTTATATTTCTTAAAATAAGCGGCAATAGTTTACAGGCTGCGAGACTGTAGCTATGAATCGTAAATAATTACAACCATGTAAATCTTAGCGGCATTGTAGAGATTTGTTACTATCTCTTGGGCAGTTGTCGGAATAATAAGTTGATACTTGGCATTACAAACTTTATAAAATTAATTGTCATAGTCTTGCAAAGCGGTCCACAACGCCCGTGGTCAATCTTATATTAGACAGAGTATTCTTTTATCAATCATTTGAAATATTTTTAATACTTACATCAGTAAGGAAATAATCATATTTTAAATTATATTTAAATGCTTAAATATGTAGGTAATGTACATTTATTGGTTTGCTATGAAATGACCAAAAGCTAATATACAACATCTCTAATACAAAAATAATAATTATGTGATTATCTGCTTTTGTAATGACAAAATTCTTTGAATTTGTAAAAATATTCTTTGTATGGTATAACAAATACACATTGTCATATTATGATAGTTACAGCAATAGTAGTTTGAGCCTCAAATATCATATACAATTAAATGGATTAATAATAATAATAATATTTGAATTTAATATTGTATTTCTTTGTTGTTGTAGGTATATGAATGTATTATAAATTGGATAAATCATGAATTGGATTGTAGAATAGAATTTTTGCCTGGATTAATGGAACACGTGCGTTTGCCTTTAGCTTCAATAGAATACATATTAAAAAAAGTAGTTGAAGAACCTCTCATTAAAAATAATTCTAAATGTATGTGTTTCTGCAGAAATATTCCTCTATTATGAATTCATATTGTATATTATTATAATATTTTTTAGGTATGAGTTATGTAGTCGAAGCTTTACAATTCCATTTACATAGAAAAGACCCACTTATCCCAATTCCACAAACAATTCGTTGTTCGTTTAGACAGCCTGATGGTTTTCAAAAAGTATAGTTCTTTTATGTATTATTATTGATCTATATTAACAATTATTTTATATTTTAACTATTTCAGGTTATTCTAGTTGTAAGTTGGAATTATACAATGGATAAGAGTTGTATAAACTTGTATGACACGACAACCAACAAATGGGAGTTTGCACCAGAAATGACTAAGTGCCGTTACTCAGCTGGTTTATCAATAATAAAAAATCACTTTCTGTTTGCTGTGGGTGGTGTCGATGATTCAAGTTCAAGGGGTTCTCAATCTGTTGAAATGCTTGATTTAACTTCGCAATCACCAATTTGGGTACCAACAGTCGACATGTTAGTTAGTCGAACATTTTTAGGAGTTGCTGAACTAGATGATTGTATATATGCTGTGAGTTTTACCAATATATTTAATTTTTTTGTGTCATAAATATATATTTCATTAAATGCTAGGTTGGTGGAGAAGATGATAGAGATGCTGAATTAAATAGTGTGGAAGTTTTTGATATCAGTATTCAAAAATGGCGAATGGTTTCCAACATGACAACTAAAAGATGTGATTTGGGTATGGGAGTACTCAGTAATCGTATATATGCGGTGAATAAATATTTTAATTTTCTATCTTAAATTATCTGATTTTTATGATTTAAATTTATAACTAATCTAATTTAATTTCACTGTATAGATAGGAGGTTCGAATAATTTCTGTGGTTTGAAATCTGTCGAATGTTATGATCCCTCAAATGATATATGGACAACAGTTACAGATATGTCTGTAGAACGTTCTTTTGTTGGTGTAGGAGTGTTGGATGGTGTAATCTACGCTATTGGTGGTAAAAATGGAACAGGAACTCCTCTCAAAAGTGTAGAGGCTTATAAACCAAGTGATGGTGTGTGGACTTCCATTGCTGACATGCACGAGTGTAGAGCCCGTGCTGGTGAATACTAATAATAATAATAATTTTTTTACAAAAAAAATCTTGTATAAAACTATATAACATTTTTTAATATAGGTGTAGTTGCGTTTGATGGTTTACTGTATGTTATGGGTGGAGAAAATAATGGTTCGGTTTGTATGTCCTTTGAAATTTACAATCCTGCCACTAATTCATGGAAAATTGAGAGTGTCGATTCAAATACTTTTGGTAGAATGTATGCTGCAGTAGTCTTTAATAGGCTACCACATGTTAGATTTAATTAGGTGGTCTCAATGTTTTTTAATATTTACTTATTTATGTACCAAAATATCTATGTATTTTTTTCTAAATTGCATTTTAGATTTTGTGAATGTTTATTTAAAATATTTTTGATGTAATTAATAATATAATATACATAATTTTACCATTGTTGAATCAAATAAACCAGGTACAAAATTAATTATATTCTGATATTATATAATTGCTGGGTGTCTTGTGTCTTTGTCAGTGAATTGTTAATGGAAGGAATAACCATTCATATAGTAGGTATTAAGTTATTTATTAATTTTCAGTGGTAAACAATTTTATTTTTATATAAGTCATTTTTTTAAACTGCATGGCTAAATCTTTGATAGGAATGATGATTAAAATAGACAAAATAGATAAATTTGACTACAATATATAGCTGGCCTCATTTAATGGCCATTTAACTACCCTGCAACTATTCATCAGTATCAATCTATTATAATATAAATTATGATATTATTCTATAAACAAATTTAACCAATTTGTAAATTATTTTTTATTAATTGCTTATGCTAGAATTATATAAGTTAAAAATGTTCAG